ACTCGCCTATTATATTGGCAAGCTATTAAAACTATGGCAAGGCAAGCAAGACTTAAATAAGCTTGCCAACCACCCTACCTTGAATAATAACTATAAAAAACTTTCTGCTATCTAAAAATTTGCAGATTAATAAAGAACTGTTTATAACAATACTAAATAATTAAGATAGCTTTAAAATTTATCAAAATATAAGTTATAAAAGTTAAAGTATTAATTTTTTTCAAATATAGATTTGTTTAATTTCTATTAATAATAGTTTATATATATTAGAGCAAATACAAAATATACTTATTTTGTTATTAAAGAGTAAACTATAAATTATTAGTACTTTTATATATTTTATTATTAAAAAAAACTTTTTAGAATATAAAAGTTAAAGAAAATACTTGAATAAAATTAAGTATAATAATATTTCTTATACTTTTCAAATCTTTTTAGAATACTTTTATTTTTACTTTTATACTTTTAGCTAGTCTTAGAAATAGCTTTAGCTGTTTGATAAATTTGAAGTATTTTTTATATAAAAAGAAAAGATTGAAGCTTACTTTCTACTAAAATTAGTATGTATATTATTGATAAATTTGAAAATAATACTTTTTATTAGAAAATTAGATATCTTAGAAAAAAACTATAGGTTCTTTTTAATTAATATATTTTTTTAATTATAAACTAGCTATCTGTGTTTAATAAATATATAAAGTATAACTGTTAAAAGAAAAAATAAATAAATTACTTTTATTAGTTTGTTATTTAGAAGAAATTGTATACAATCTTTTGTTAGAAGTTATCAACTTGTTATTTTAAATATTCTAATAGTCGTTAAACTATCTAAACAAGAGACAATATAAATATACTAATATAAAAACGATCTAAAAGAAGACAATTCAAATAATTTAAAATTGAAAACACTTTATCTTTTAGATTCAAATTTTTATAAACAATATAATAATTTTTGCAGCATGTTAAATCCTAACTTACTAAATTATTTCCTACTTTACAAGTTTGTTACTACAAAAATTTATTACCGTATAGTGCCGAAAATAAGCACCTCCCCCTCTACCCTAATTTTTGAATCACAGATTAGCGGAAATAGAAACGAAATCTTTAGCCAGGTTATTCCCACTAATTTAAGATTTAAAAACTTAGGGTAGAGGGCAGGTGCTTATTTTCGGCACTATACGGTATATAATTGTATATCAGCAACAAGTTGAAGGCATGTTCAATAAACTAGATCTAAATACTAACCAAAGTCATCAAATTTCAAAGAATCAAAGCTAGGTTTTTCTGAAACAAAATTTTCAAAAAAACGAAATTGTTAGCATTAGATGAAATGTTAGAAAAGAAAAAAGCGAAATTGAAGTGGTAGACTTTAGCGTGCAAAATGCGTTAATGAAATTTAACCAAATTTTTGATATTAAAAGTTGATTTTTTTTTTTTTCATATTATAATAAATTAGACAATTAAAATCGTTCAAAATCTGTACTATGTAAATCTATTAAGGGTCTACATATAGGTTTGATTTTATTAGTTGACCGACCACACCACCCCAGCATGTACGATCCTAAATGTATTATTTGTTTTCTTGTCTTTTGTTTATAATAATTTGTCTTTGTTTACACATTCTCATAACAAGATTTGCTTTGTTTACGACAAATATTGGCTTTTTAAAACTTCATTGTTAACATTATAAAAAAGATGAATGAAAATGTATCACATGATCATGAAAAAACCACTTTCCAATGGGAAACGAAAGTAGCCAGAAAAGCGTATTCAGAACTTTTATTTGTGACTCTTAGCTATCTATAAAACGCATTGTATAGTCTTTAATTATATAATGTGAAACCTTTGCAGATGATTAGTATTATATAATTCTGATAATATAATACTTATAATGACTTTTATTACTAATATTAGGCGATTGAATGTTTGTCTCGTGAAATACTGTAGTACGCGTTTGTCTCGTGTATTGTTCGCGGGAATATATTTAATTGAAAGAATTTCAAAAAAATTCTGGTTATTGGGTAATTTATAACTTAATAAACAATTTTTAAACTTTTCAGACATTATTGTTGAAATTAATACTTCAAACATAAGAGAATTTTAAAGGAAAAAAGAATCATGAGTGCACCAGATGTTCATAACGAACTATACATTGATACTCACATAATTGACAGTTATGGTTTCTCTTCGCATGGCATTCATGAAAAGCGATATCATACAGGTTCCGAAACACCCGAAACACCTGTAACCCCCGTAACACCACACGAAGAGTTTATGAGTTCAGGTAGAAAATGTTTGCTCGCGGCTGAGCGCTTCGTTATATCTGATGAAATGGCACCAAAATTAAATCGAATTGTTAATGCATACAATTCTATCTATTATTTTGAGAAAAACAAAAACCTTGATAATGATGCAGAAAATGTGGGAACTATGATCGCGAGGATGAAGTGGTACAAAAATTACAAAAATAAATATGAGAATAAAAAAGAATTTGAATATTTTTGGGTAATTCTTAGTGATATTATTAAAATCCAGGCTATGTTAATTAATCAACGACAGCCGAAAGAAATTAGTATTTTTATTGAAGAAGTTTTTATTAAAGGATACTTTGTTTTGACATATGAGTGTTGGGGAGAACAAAGATTTCAAGAAATCATGGAGGAAAACTCTTATGAAATCAAAAAATTCGAAATCTTTATAGACATGTATAAAGAGATTGCGTCTATTGTTAAGTTTATCAATATAATGACAACAATTTATGTAAATGCTAATGGAGTAAGTCCAAGAGCTTTACCATTTTTTGAAAAAATTCCTAAAGGAGTGGATTTTACTAGTATTATGAATCAATGTAGGGAAGTAATTACGAATGAAGATATTTTCGGAATGGATAACGAGTTGAACAATATGGCAAATAATTTAAAATTTCTGAGAAGAAGATTAGCCGAGATTGCTGAAATGAATAACGTGGACGTGGAAAGTAAGAGTGGATATTTGAAGGCGTTAGAGAATTCATATAGTGATGATATCATTAACCACTATATTTATAGTGTTGATAGCAACATTGATATTATTAATGACTATAGTGATAATTTTAGTAAGAATCAAGATATAAAAAAATATTATTATGAGAGGATTGATAAAAAAATATTGATGGATCTCCTAAATCAAATAAAGGAAGAAATGCGCAGAGAAGAATTGAAGATCAAAAGAAATAACGATTTAGATAAATTGAAGAAAATCAGTGACAAGAAATTGAAAGAATATAGTTAGCATGTCATTTATACGGTATCTATTTCTTACATTTTTCGGCGAGAGAAGTTTGGCTAGAATTGAGATGAAGCAATTGATTTAAATTTTCACAATAATCCAAGTCAAAAAAATTTTAGATTTCATGATTACGTGTAAAAGGTCAAATTAATGTCACGGAATTTTGAACCTATCATGAGTGGGACCATTCTACAAACGACGATTAATGATATTAAATTAATGAACCATATGTTTCTCTTCATTTATTTAAAGCGAATTTATTAACTAGGAATGTAATGCATAGACGATATTGAATTCAAACTATAACTGATAACGGTATGTCATTGGTAATAATCACTATTGGTGAGCTTTAGTAATGCTCTTAATTTATTTAATTTATTTAATATAAATGATAAATTTAAAAATTAACAAAATTAGTCGCTAATGTTACCGTTACAATTACAATAATACAAATTGCATAATTGAGAAACAAAGTTTTACTACGTATACGCACGTATACGTAGCCATCCAAATTTCATAAAGCATGTATCATTCTATGTTGGTCCCTTAAAATAAAATACTGTAATACGTATGTATTTTAACTTTATATAGTTGATCTTCCATATCGATATTGCCAAGTAATAAAGTAGATTATTTCTAATATTAGTGTTCAAAAAGTGAATCGACCTTTATTCGTTATTGTACTGTAGATAAGTAATTTGGGAAAGATATACCTATTTAATCAGTTGTACAATTAAGATGATTATTCCGCCGTACATGTAAAGTTGGAATTTTAAGGATTTGAACGATGAAAATATGTTCGATTGGGTGCAAACACGTAATATCGACTAACAGTTAACCGATATATATATTTAAAATTATTTCATAAACAAAATCACGAAAATGTTTATTCGACGAATAAATTCGCGGTGCAACCAAAATTCAATCGGAGCTAGGACAAGAATGGGCTGTGAATTTATTACGTAAATCTTTCAAGATCATGTGTAACGAGAAAGAAAAACCCAAAAAATCAAAATAATCAATTATTCTTAAGGTTTTCGCTGTATACGTATATACAAATATTAGTGAATATTGGTAGCTATTGAATTAAAGATTTGCATTTTCTATTTCTTAACCTTATTTTATTACTAATAATTCTGATCTTTATTACTAAAAACCTGATAACATGCTATTTAAAACCTATATAACTATTATTTTTAACAGGTTCTTTTTTGTTTAAATAACTATAACTGTTATTTTAAGCTATATAAGAAATTTATTTACTTACTGATTATTTTTAAATTTTAAAATCATCTTAAAATTGGCTATAACTAATAAGCAAGTTTGATAATAGCAAAATAAAAATCTAAATATTTTTTTATCTAATTAAATACTATAATTATTTAATTATATATATGATATTTAAAAAATCTAATAAGTTTTTAAACTGTATATACAACTTTATAATAATCTATTTTATTTTTAGAGGAATTTACAAATAAGGGCCCAAAAATGTAAAATAATTACATATAGAAGCCCTATTTCAATAAATTTTATCGGTTTTTACTAATATCTCATGATACCGTAAACGAAATTTAACAATTTTGATACCATTCGAATCGTCTCATTGAGACGCATTGAATGGTACCAAAATCGCCAAATTTTAATTACCGGATTACGAGTTATTTAACATTTTCTAAAGTCTGTTTAAGCCGTAATATCTTGTTATCCCGCCATTAAAATTTAGCGATTTTAGTACCATTCGATCCATCTCGACGAGACGATTCGAATGATATCAAAATCGCTAAATTTCGTTTACTGTATCGTGAGATATAGTAAAATGAGGCCCCTATATGTAATTATTTTAAATTTTTGGGCCCTTAATGTAAATTCTCCTTATTTTTATAAAAAATTCTTTTTAGCAAATTATTAAAATAAAAATAAACAACTCTTCTTTTTATCAAATTATAAATTTTAAACTTTATTTAAATAGCTAATATAAAGTTAATTGTTACTAATTAATCAAAATCATACTCTATTTAATTTAACCTACACAATTCAATTTAAACCTAATCACTCCTTATTTAAAATTTTAAGTAATATATTTGAATTACTCTCTATCACATACTTGCATACTTTAAACTAACAAAGTTGTTTAAGAATTCTTATAATTAAGCAACATTTTTTCAACAAATTATACTTATATAATCAACGCAGTTATCAATCCTACTCTCAGATATAAGATTAAAATATTGGTTTATCTCTAATAACTTGTCTATGCAATATTATCACTTATTACTTTATTTATCATAGCAATATTCATGGTTATTAATTTTTAAATTAAATATATAACCTTATTACCTTCTTAAATCTCATCTTCATTTACTTCTTCATTTCGTCTTCTCTCTTCTTCTAATAAAACTTCTTTCATAACAATAACAAATGTCTTGGGTTGTTTTACCAAAATT